TCCCACAGATCCCTGGAGAAAATACAGTGTTCTGAGCTCCAGGAAGAGCAAGTGTATAAATCTGCTCTGGAAAGGGCTGTACATGATGCTAATCTAAATCCAAACCATTCAAGATACATTTTGAAAAAGCCATTAATTTATTACTTCCCCATTAGTGCACTGGGAAAATAAATTTAACTGACTTTTGCAATTACCTTATATTTTTTAAGTAGGATGAAGTAAAATGCATTAGGTCAAATGGTGATTTTTCCATCTGATCATCAAAAATGGAAAGGGACAATGGAGATAAAATTTGCTCGAATTCCTCACCACCTGGAAGCAAGTGGCATGGCTTTTTGAGTAGATAAAAGAGAAATATGTAATGAGAAATTGAAGAATCTGTGCTAGACTCTAGGAAAGAGCTCTGACTCCCACAGGCTTGCAATATATACTTTGTGTAGTTCTGCCAAAATCAGGGACATATCAAAGGAAAATTCTTCAGATTGCTATTCTCATGATAAAGGCCTGTAATTGGCCTGTAGCAGTACTGTCTATAAATGCATTATCCCAGTCTGTTTCTATTGTATTAGCACATTAGGCAAACACCCAGAGTGGATTTTTAGTATGAGATATTATTTTAGAGTATAAAGAATTTTTTGTACAAATATAAATAGATTTTATATATATATATATATATATATACACACACACACACATATGTATACACACATACCTAGAGCTGAGTAAAGACTATATCAAGGAAAGTTAGGATGATATTCTTTTCCAAGTTGAGACTGGAAGAGAATATGAGAAGGATCCAAGAATATGTGAAGAAATACATTCTAGAAATTTAGCTGCTTAAAAGTATATATATTGCTAAGGGTGGGGGGGAAGGAAAAAAGTAGAGGAATAGTTTTCATCTAAAGGCTTAATCTTTCATTCTTTGATACTAAAATGCATTGATTTCAACAGTTCAGGATAATGGATATTAAAGCATTTAAATCAACAGCACTCAGACGGGATGACCACATTTGGAGTAATAGTGAATTTCTGCACATCTCTAGACTGCAAAGCAAATAATTGCACAAGCAAAACGTTTGGCTTCATCCTGTGCCCTGAAGAACTGAAGCTTACTGTTGATTTGCTGCCCAGACTGCATTCCTTCTTGGCCTGATGACCCATCTCCTACGTATATCACCATATGCTTTATGTAAAAAGTCAACATTTAGCTTAAGAGTTTGCACAGACCAACCCGAAGGGACATGATAAAGGCTGACAGATTCTAATGCATAAAGTACTTTCTATAGAAACACCAAGTGACAGACTTGGTTTTCTCTTACATACCAGAAAAATATTTATTTTGCTTAAGGCTTGTGTAACATCTTTGATACTACTTCATTTGTGTTATGCCTGATGCACCAGAGAGAATCTGACCTTACTGGAAGACTGAATTGTCTCCTAGCCCCAGGACACAACAGGAATATTTCTTCTGACCTCCCTGGCCGTAGATCAGGCTCACAGGTTTCTTTGCTGCAGCATAATAAAAGGTGGTTCTCTCTAGGTTTGCTCTGTGATTAAGGTTTGATGGCATTGGGCTGGCTAGCACCAGTTCTTCCCTATTTAGTGTTGCAGTAAAGGTCTATTGGGCAGAGGAAACATTACCGATTGCCTCATGGACAGGGTGAAAAAACCAAAACCCAGAAAGTCTTGGGCAGCTGTGGAGGATAATTATGCTTTATACATCTGAAAAACAAGAGGAAGGTGATGTAGGAATCTGGAAATCTCTGCATTCCCTTCCACTTGTCTCATTGCAGCTGCAGGAGTTCACTTTCTTGCCACCTTTCTGCAGGCAGAATGAGGGCTGTATTCCTCAGGGATATTAGGAAGTAGTACCCCCTCTTTCATTTCAAGATCTGTACTCAGATATTCCGATGCCTACTACTGGTAAATATTGATAAGTCTTTAATGTACTGCTAGTTACTTGGGTTTTTTTATTTGCACAGCCTTAGATAGATCTGGCTTTGTTTTGTGCTTGCTTTCACTGGAAGAAGTCCTGACACAAGGCCTTCATGGCAGAATCTCCACCATAAGAGGAATCTCTGCTGGCCAAGGAAGCAATAGCAGGGCAGAGCTTCTCACAGATAAATATATTTAAGGGATTTAAGACCTGATAGGGCAATAGATCACCAAAGATGGCCTTCTCTGTGAGACTGACTACTACATACCAGCTGTGTACTGAACACAATAACTTGCCTTTTGTCAGTGTAACCCAGTCTTGGTTACTGTTGATCTTCCTGTGAGTTATCCAGTTGTTGTCTGAAGAAAGGAGGGGCTCTGGTACACACCATCACCTGTAAATTGCTGTTCTGATGGTTAACATTCCACACACATTCAATTATTTTACTCTTCTTTCCCTTCACTTCTGCAAACCACCCCCACCCCTCTGCTGCTTGTCTAATTTAGGGGTTTCATCTTTGCCTAAAGTGTAACCTATGTTTCTCATATAAATATAGGTTCTTTTTCTGCCTTTCACTACCAAGTCAGAGGTAGTCAGTACAATAGATTTGGGTCCTGTTGTCTTTTACTGTCAAACATTGCAAATAGTGTCTTTGTGGCTGTTCTGTGCCACCTCTCCGTTTTCCAGCAGTGTTTAAAAATGTGTGCTGTGTGCAGAAGTGTGTGTAGTTTATACTAAAAATGGAACTGCTTTAGACAGAAAGGCTATGACCAGGCCAGCTGTCAGATGTTCTATTTCACTACAGTATCCCAGCTGCCTTTAAAAACGTGAGTACTCATCTTCCCCAGTGCAAAGTCAGCAGGGCTCTGCAGGAACAGGAGGACAGCTTGGAGACACACTCTTACATGGCATGGCATTACATAGACATAAAAAATATTACATTTATCTCCCTACAGTTCTGGAAATCAGGCCACAAATCCTGGAAAAGCTCCTTTTTTTTTTTTTTTTTTTTTTTTTTAACTCATGGCTGACATATTCAAGATCCAAGTCTGGAATTTCTCTTCCTATTTTCCCTAAGGAGTTCATCTCTCAGACCTTCCCTCTGCATGCTCAGCATGAATGATCCTGACATAGAGCACAGCTCTGACCACAGCACTCAGAAAAGCCACTACTAAGAAGGAAGATCAATGTTCTGAGCACTCATCCAGGGCAAGTGAGACTGAGTTTCATCTTTCATAAGACACATAAGGCAAAGAGAAAGGCAAGGAGCTTCTCTCATCCTGCATGTTTCATTATGGCTTATTCACCCTGGTGGCTCTGGATCCCACACTAGAGTTTAGTTCCTCTTGTGCACTACCCAGAGTGTACAACTACTTACAACCGATTTCTGTGTTTGACTCTGAGAGATAAATAAGTAAAAAATGGATGCTGCAACAGTCATTGCATCAGTGAGTAAACCTGTTGGGAATATAGACCTAAATTCAATGACAGAAAGCAACTTGTCATTTACCAAAAGCAGAAAACAAACTTTAAATCCTTATATGCATTAAATTTTTCTGAATGTAAAATCAATCATCTTAATCAATGAGTATTGCTTGGCTCACCCAGTGGTAAAAAAAGCAGAGAAAATCATATCAAGTTCTAAAACTAAAAAGTGTGCCAGTACAAGTACAGCCTCCTTTCTAGATAACTTCTGAGACAGAAGATTAGCACTGTCACTCTCACAGTCTGTGAAGTACTTGTTTTCATTCCGTGCATCACAACACGTATTTAAAAACAGAGCTGAGTCTCCACACACCACACTGAGCGAACGACTTAACTCTGTCATTGATCACCTGACTTCAAAAGTGACACAAGCTGTTGGTGCTTAGTTTTGGGACTTGATTTCATCAGGGTGGTTTTTGCCCTGAATTGCTTGACTCATCACTGCTTGCACATCACCAGTGTCATACTCAGCTCAGGCCCAACCTACACCGGCCATCGTCAGTGCACTCACCTAACACTGTCTCGACTCTGGGTTTAAGCTACAGGCAAGAAAACAGATCAGCCTTTCTGCATTTTGAAGGATTGTACTAACAATTCCCCCCAGATTTCTTCATCTACCTGAACTTCATTTTTAGTGCATCAGAAGTTCTTTCAATTACAGATTTAGAAGAAGATGATCTGCATTTTAATGATAATCTCCTGGAGTTTGAGGGCTAGAATAAGAGGCTTTCTTGGCTTCAGTTTTGCCTTAAGGTAATGAAACCGTCAGCTAAAAAAGAAAAAAATATGATTTCAGTTGTATTAAAATTGTTCCTAAGGGGTTATATTCTGCTCTCAGAATAACTGAATTGATCTACAAAGAGGTGCTCTGTGTTCATGTGGTAGTACTGGAAGAAGTCCATGAGCTGTACTATGAGATATTTTAATTCTGGAAATACCATAAGGGAGCCAAGAGTTCTGCTTCAATGGCATTTTGTCCTGAGAAACACAATAGACTTTTTTCTGGTTTATACTTGATTCCATCTTCACACATCTGAACAGGTGAAAATGTCTCCACCTCCTGTATCTTTAGTTGTTTCCAGAAAGAAGGTGACAGAGAATTATATGAAAGATACCATCCAGGTCACAGTATAAGATGGGTACAACAGTAAGGAGATGGCAGATGGTTATCTTCTCAAGAAATCACTTTTGTCCCCACAAAAGGAGAGACAACACTTGAAAAGCTGGATTTTCTTCCTTCTTGAGTCTTTCTTAAATGTAGGTGACAGTATCATGCTCTGAGCTGTGCCTCAAGTCTTTCATCATTCAGTGAAACCTGTTTAAATTCAGAACTGAGCACTGAGAAGAGCTTTTGTTATCATTTGCTCTCTTGGCTGATATTTCAGAGGCTTTCTCCATAATATCAGTCCAGTGAAGGCTTTTGACTCAGAAACATTTAGTTTTATGATCCAGATTTTGAACACCTTTAAGCTGGGATGTCGCTTTGAATTCTGGAGGTCAGGCTGATGCAGTAGTCCTGGCAGTATTTTCATTCAGATGTAACTACATCTTCTCCTCACTGGACACTTATGAGCTCCTGCTGCCACTGATAAATCCATGATGACTTATTTGGGATTAATGGGGTTTTATATGGACAAAATGTCTTTCCCTGTGTTAATTTGATACTCCAAGCTATTAGGCAACTTATTGCATCACTGGTCATGCAGGGTGTTTCCCAATGCCTATGTCAAAGTGTCCAGGCAATGCTGCTCCAAATTTCAATAAGCATATGTGGCTTCCAAAACTCTCTCAGGGCCTGAGCAAGGAAACAAACAAAAAAAAATTAAACAGAATCTAAATTGTTATCTGTTATCCCTCATGCTTTAAAAGAATACAACTATTTTTTTTTTTTTTTTTTTAAACAATTTCTCTAACTCTGTTTGTAAAATTTCTGTCTTGGAGATGTCTATTTTCCCACACCTACCATGTCCTTTACAGTCTCTGTCAAGTATTTTTCCTGTTGACGTATTAAAAAAGAAGAAAAAAAAAAAAAAAAGAAGACATATTACACATAATAAAGTTTACTCAGCAGAGGCAAAAGCACCGAATGTCTGTAAAAAATGCAGGTAAATAAAGATAAATGGTGGCTTGGGACCTTTCCAACTGGATGATTCATCATCTAGCTGCTTCTCTGAGATATGTTTGATGCTAACAACATTTATGCAATATTCCCAGGCTTGGGCATGCACTGCCTGCCACAAAAGAATAAACAGCCTCCTGCTCTACTTGAGAACTCTGTCTAAGATGTATTATTATCTTTTATTGCTACATTAAATTGGCAGAAAATTAGTCTTTTCCAATATGAATACACCTCAGCCTCAATAATTTATTTTTGCCTATGTAAAATTCTAGCACTTCCTAATCTTTTAACTGTACCCATCCTAGGATTTATTTATTATTATTATTATTATTCATTCAATGCCTCCCATAAAAAATACAATGTCAGGTCATTAGGGGAGGGACCACGAGGAAGAATGAGGACAGTATCAAGGCCTGGCTGTACAATCTGAGCTAACATTTTCTCAGTTATGGCACTGATGAGTCAAGTATAAACTGTAGGTGACAAAAAAAAAGTCTAAAAAGTGCACTAGAAATCTTTTGATCCAACATATTCCACCAGCTACAAACACAAATTTTAGTGTTTTTCTTGACTGATATAAGGTTATGTGCAAAGAATGTTCAAATAGTTCATATCATCTTGATCAGACTAAACAGCTAAAATGGGATTTTCATGAATTTAAGTTAGGACTGGGCATCTGCATCCCCTTTCATGTCACTGAGAAAAAGAATGGTCCTCCTGGGCCAGACCAGAAGGCTTGATAGTTCAGTATCCTGTCACTGAGAAATGCCATTTCATATGTAGTCTGTTAATGCACACAAAAGAATTAAAATTATAACCAATCCAAAGCTGCCCGAGGTTCACTTTGTGCTTAAGTATTGTGAAAAATGCCAAACATAACTATTATTGCTGTGTAACGCTGCAGTAGTGGGGAAATTGAGAGGCAGAACTGTTTAAACACTAAAAACCAATGTGTCATAGTCGACCATAATGTAAAGGAAGGTTGTGTTGTGTTGAGGAGGATGCACAGACCAGGAAGGCAAACACATGGAAATGGAAATATACCATGGACTGAACATGTGGTGCTGCTAATGGCTGGAGCCATATGGGAAAAGGAATTCTCCAGCCAAAAGAATGAGGAAAGATGATAACCAGTAGATATGAAACAATATGTAACAAAATGGATAATTCTACGTGAAGTGACGCTCCAGGTTCAACTCTGCACTCAGCCACAGTCAGGCACGTTGTGCTAAAGGGACAGTTGGACATTTGACATCTTTTGAACACACATGTATTATACACATAATATTGGCCACGTAACACAGAGATCTGAATAAAAAGACCTCCAGATTTGTTTGTGTAATAAGCTGAACCTGCCTTCTGACCTGCCTGGGATGCTGTGGGACCTGGCCCCACGCTTTTGCCATCCTCCTCTTCAGACCAGGTACTTCATGCAACAGAAACTGGGGTGAACAGCAGATATGGATGGGATCAGACCTGTGGATCAATATTCACATTCTTTAAAATTTGTCCAAACAGAATCATTTTACTTCCAATTATAGATGTAATAACTAGTTTCATTAGAAATTATAACATTTCCTAAAATATTTTACTTCTAACAATCTGAAAAAGTTCACAAGGTGGGACCTCCATCATATTTCATTACTCTATGATCTCTCTTGCCATCTTTTTTATAATTTGTCTATAATTTTCATAGCAAAATAATTTTTTTTTCTTTAAACTTTTTTGTTCCAAAGAGATCTATTTTTGGAGCCTCTAAAGAATCTTTCCTCTGAATTTGAAAAATATTCTGAGTTGCACCTCCCAGTGCTTCTTAAGCTTCTTTTGGGCAATTTTCCTCTTGGCTATCACCTCTGTCTTCATTTGGCTTGACTGGGTTTCTTGTTAAGGTCACTCATTCCAATGAGCATCCTTCCATCTCAATTTATTGGGTATCATCACCTTCAAATTAAGCTCCTTGTGAACAGCCATGTGTTAACTCCTGTCTGTTTTAGTTGGCATCAAAGCCTGAGCCTCCAGTAGCTCCATTCCTCAGCATTTGGTAGGATTTGATCTGAAATGAGCATGTATCTGTGAGGAAAATTTTCAGGGTTAATCTTTAATTAGGAAAGGGGTGAGAGGAGAAGGTAAAAGTAGCTGCAAGCACATAAGTCTTCTGAAGCTTCATCCCATTTCTGGTGACAAGATGTAAGGAATGTCTTGCAGGTATTAAAGCCTTGTAGGCGATAGCCCAAGATTGAGACTCTGAGTCACAGCTCCCCTCTCAACTGTGGGAAACTCCTCAAACATTTTGTTCAGTGGAGCTTGAAGAATAGTGTGTCATCACAACAGACAAATCTCTGTTTCCATATTAATAATTCAGTATTCCCCAATAATTCTCTAAAGGCATAAGAGTTCCAGTAGGAATTGGCTATAAAACGTAGCCAAGGCACCCTGCTGGCATAAGCCAGCATCACTGAATTCCATGAGTGTTGATGCAGGTCCTAAGTCCTTCCATGTTTTATCACTAAAGCTGTGTCAAGTTTCTTATCCCAATACAAGCAACAGGGGAAAGCAATCAGTTCTGATTTATTTTCCTTAACCTTGGGAATGAGTACAACACTTCTGCTTTTTCTTAAATCATTAACTTTTCGTCCTCAAGATCATTACTATACTCTGTGTAAAATCTATGACTCTTCCTAGGTGTCCCTTAATGTTTTCTGAACCTGGTCTTGATGTGCATTAGGCACTTGGGATTCATTAGTGGTGTTAATCTGCAGCCATTAAAAATGCAAAGTCATTTTGAAGATGGAAAAAACCAGGCAAGCATCTTTCAAATCTGTACCTCAGTCTTTTCACTCCTCATTAAATTTCAATTGGTGAAATCTATTGGTCTCCCTTAGTCCTTTATCAGGGGGGACTGTACCATACGCAGACCATCTGGTGGTGAGTAATGGGTCAGCCACAGTGGGCTTTCAGGGGTTCATAACAAACTAGCTTAATATTGCCCAGCAGCTGTCAGTTCTGATTATGAAAGGCAAGCTTACATTCCTGTGATCTCCTTCCTTGGACTGACCCTTTCAAACAAGTTGTATGATAGTCCAAAACTATTGTTAGAGTTTTCCACAAGAATCCAAAAGCAGGTGCCCTGTGAGAGAGAATGAACTTGGCTGTTCATATGGTAAATTCTTTAATAGCTTTTCCTTGGCACGCTCTGTTTTTCATCAGGAGAATTTGCTGCCTAATTTAGAAACTCTGGGGTGATAAAGCCATTTGGGGCAGATTCACCTCAGCATCACAAAACAAGTAGTTCAACCAAAGATGCTCTTTTGTTGCTCTTTGAGAACATCTTTAATGTTAACAAGCAAACCTTTGAAAATATTATTCATCATATCAACACTTCAGGAATTCTTGATAATTAAGCTGATTACACCTGATTGGTTAAATTAGCAATCAAAAAAAAGTGGTAAATTTAATGTCATAGGTTTAGCATACAGGATGAATATATTCCACAGCATCATTTTAAGTGGTCATCCGTCTTCCATTTGTAAGATTTGATGTGGAAAACCCTTATTTTTGTCACTGTGTTTAATGGTTTGGAGAGATAAAAGCTTCTCTACTTACTGTCTCCTAAGGACATACATCTTTATATGTAGTTTGTGAGGCAGAAAGACCTGGATACTCAGAGATGGAGTTATGTTAGCTTTAAAAATATTTATAGCATCCTTTCTTCTTTGAAATTACACCTGTCAGTCAAACACAGCACTAACAAACAGAAGAAGCCTCAACACAAAACCTGTGGATTTTGAACTAATTTCTGTATTTCTGCAAAAGAACAAAGATTTCCTGTTTTTCCTGCAGAGCAACTGATGACCTTGTATTGATCACATACATTTTCTTTATTTGACTGTTCTTTTTTCTGTTTGTCTTCCAGACATTAACATGCTTTACAGATGGACATAGGGTATTATCCATCCCATTTCACACTAGAACATCTAAGTGACCCAGCCCACTACCAATGTCAACAGAGCCATGTAGCAAGGCTATTGGCAGAGTTTGGGAAAGACAAGGGCCATCACAACAAGCCCTCCCCAGGACGTGTGTCAAAGCTCCCTGAATCCCTCTTTGCAGTATCTCATTCATCCCACAGAAAATTTTTCTCTGGGTACTGTGTGAGAAAGGTGATTCTTATCAGTCACTGTGTGCAGTAAACTGGTTCTGGTATGCAAAGGCTTTCAGTTTGTGGGCTTATCAGAAGGCTGAGTTATGCCATCTCAACAGATTTTAATATTTACACCTTACCTACAATGCCTATCAGTGCTTATCAGCCTGCAGCTAATCAGCCATGTGAACAGCAGAAGCCACAAGGTGCTCTGTAACACACAGGAGACTCACTGAGGTCTTAGATTTGAGAGTACAACACTAGTAAAGATATAACACACTTCTAAAATCTCCAATGATACACAAATAGTAATGATCATGTCAACATAACACTGCTATTCGGTCTTTTTTCTGTTCTGGAACACACCTGAGAGCTGCACTGCTGCTTCCTGCATCCTCAAAGTGGGCCACAGGCTCTATTGCTTCATCTGTATTGACTGGCTGTGTGGCACCTTTACTGCAGTAGAAGGGGTGTATGGCTGGCACACATTTGGCACACACTGCACCTCCTTCCATCTCTAAAACAGCCACATAGAGCAGCTAAAGTTTTTTCAGATGGCAGCTCTCTGCCTACCCTTGGAGAACAGCATTGCAATAAACAACCTATTCTGCTGCCCTTCGGTTGCTAATACAGTGTTCTCCAAGTCACAAATATGATAATATTTTGCTTTGTTCCTCCTCACAGGGAAATTGGAAGTAAGAAATAGTGTGTTGTCATCAGTGGGTTGGAAGTACCTCATTAAATCACACTGGAACTGCTGCAGGATTTGTCTTGCTTTCTTCTTGTCATCTGCTGGCTCTAGAAATGCACAGACCTGTCTAAGGAAATGAAAGAGACAGAAAGTTTCAACACGTTGTTAAAATTAACCCTTAGGATGAAAAATACCTTCTCCACATTTTCTGGTTAAAGTATTTTGCACATTAGTAAAACAATTCAAACAGAATAACAACTTCCAGAACTTATATCAAGGTTAACTGCTGGTTACTGCCAGAAAGTATGTTTCAAAGGCTACATTAGTGTTTGACATCTCCATTTTCAAACAGCTCTTAGGGCTGAGGGTCATCTAAGGGACTTTAGAGACTGATTAAGAAAGGTTTCCAGATACTGACCTCTAAAATTTCCTTTTAAAAAAAATAGATGCTAGATGGGAACAGCCAAAAATGTGAATGGTATCTTTGGAAATAAAATCCTTGACTGGCTCTTCAGAAAGACCTTTTATGTTTACACGTGTAGTTTCTGCATGCAGCTTAATTAAGTCAGATTCTTAGTGGGGTTGTTTCTTTATACCTGTGCAAGAAAGTCAAGCAAAGTGAGACAAACACTATGAATATTTTTTGTTATTGTTCAGAAAAAGAAAAAGAGAGAAAGCAGCTATTGGCCTAAAACTCTTTCTTTTTCTTCTTTTTTTTTTTTTTTTCCCCTATTCAATTTCTTGGGTCAGTTTTATAGCAGAAAGTGATTTTCTGGGATCCTCTGCCATTGTCATAAATGACACATTGTCAGAAGGTGATTCATTTTGAACCACCGAAAACAAGAGGGGAAAAAAAATAAAAAAATTGTCAAAGTTCAGCTCCTGACATGCCTTTCAATTTGAGAAGGACTCACAACAAACTGAACAAGGGCAACACTCGCACTCCTCCACTCCCAAGCGCAGTGTGATGCAGCCAGCAGCCGAGGATAAGCTTGTTAACTCAGACATATTTTCAACATTGCATAAATTATCTACCTTTGGGGAGATGGAAATAACCAGGACTTTCTTACGTATTTTTTAGAGAGAGGGAAAATTTTAATCTGAGCACAGAAAGCACAGGTGGAATTAAGAAAAGAGAGGGGAAGAGTTGTATACCAGTAAAGGTTCAATTCCCATATATCCACCTCACATCACAGAAACCTCAGTTCCTTCCCAGCTACCACCCGGAGCACTCTGCTTGGCACAGAGCCCTGTGCTCTTGCTCTCATGTGATGGATGGTGCTTTGAATTCTCTAAGCACTTCCCAGAGTCAGCAATGGCTTCATGCAGGCTCAGGTGAAAGGCTGCATCTGTCCAGCACATTCTTGCCTTTCCTACCACATTTCTGCCATGCAGCCTTCAGAAGCATTGTGAATTATCTCTTTGACTCTTGAGCCCGGGGTTTGTGCCTATTTTCCTCTAGTGTGACTGGCACTGTCATGACCAGTGACCTCCACACTGCCCTCCTAACATCCTCCAGCCTGATCTTTGCACAGAGTCACCTTTGAAATGACCCCTTTCCCTAGAGATGAGGATGAGTACCACAGACAAGGAGGGCTGAGGAAGGGAAAGCATAGAAAGAAGCCTTTTTAATGTTTTCTGCTACCCCAGTTAATGTGGTCGGAGGGGGCTCATCATTATCCCAAGGGAAGAAGGTCCCATCATCAAGCATTACTTTTTTAACAAGAGTGCAAGTGAGCTGTACAGACCCATGGAGACTGATTGCACTCAGGCAAACAGGTTTCCAAGGGACATTTTTGAAGAGAAATGGAAGTGGCCTTGGGCACAGCAAGCCCTACTAGATCCCCAGGGAATACACTGGGATATTATTACTGAAGTGATGGCGCTGATTTTTCTTGTTGTCATTTATTGTATGCAATATTGAAGATCACAGTAAAGTCCCTGGCACTTCCCTGGCAATACAATAGCTCTCAGACAAGCCAGGCTATTTCAGGAGTGCACTCCTCAAGCTCGGACCCCCATGATCATGGGGGTCACAAGCCATGAGCATTTGAGTCACTGAGTGCAAGGACAGGCTCAGGTGCAGAGGCAGAGTGCTTGGACGGGGAATTCTTTCATCTTGCTCTGATGAAAGAAATGGGGAAAGACCTGCATTCCCTCCATGGTGCTTGTGTTGGAGGAAATAATCAATTGGATTCAAATCAATTCCAATCAATAGAATACCCAGTGTTTCTGGTCAGGAGGGTCAAAGAGACCCACAGGGAATTTTGAGGGTGAGAGCCTGAGTTTTTCAGTCAAAGAAGGAGCTCTAACTTGCACACTCTGTTCCTGTGCCTCTACCCTTCCCCTTCCAGCTTGGTCTTGCTGGATGCCTTCTGACAAAGTAATATTTTAATTTGTTTTAAGCTCCTAGAGATTTGAGCCATATCCAGGCAATGGACTCGCCCACATTTTTCAGCATAAATAAATTTCAATAAACGAAAGGCAGGAAGTTTTATTTCTTTAACATATGCACAAACACTATATTTGGTTTTCAGGCAAGACCCCAGTGTTCTGTACAAATACCACTAATGAGCTCCCAAAGGCTCACCAGGCAGCTCAGGAAGGAAAGAGCACCAGGCACCTCCAAGGGGATCTTGTGCTCCACGTCAAGAGTGAGCATCGCAGAGCTACGAATGGGACCTCTGCCATGACCAGGTGAATGCCTTCCACCTCAAACATCTCAGTGCAGCAAATAAACCAGCATGTTTTTTATTGAATACTGATAAAAGAAACCTCTCAGCACTTGTGCAAGAAGCTGAGCAGAAACTCCCAAGTAATACCTAATGCTGAAGCAAAGAAGGGGGTCTCTACTCCAGAGCTCACTCACACTCTGAATCTCATCTGCCCATGTAGAATTACCCTGGGAAGACAGAGATGCTTCTCTGCACTCCCTGGCTCCCTCACGGTGCCCTGCATGACCAGGGGCCAACTGCATGAATGGATTCCAGGTATTGCCATGAAGCTGCACCAAAAAATTAAAAGTAATTCAAGAGTCATTGGGAAAGAAAGGTGAGTAAGTAGCATGAGGCTACACGTCACGGTGAGGAGAGATGCCTCAGAAAGACGGTAAACAGAGGTTTTGTTCCTTCATTGTGTATTCTTTAAATTATCAGCGGTTGTTTTAGATATTTAAACTTGCAAATTAGAATTAATTTCCATTAAAAAATATTTCATGAATATTAATGTTAGAATTGGCACAAATCTCCATCATAACCTTCTCCCAGAAAGAGTTGTGGAACATGTGATTTGCCTTCAATGCCTGAGTAAAATTCCTATGACAACTACAAAAACACATAAGGGGAAGGATGAGACTGGAAAACGAAAGCTGCAAAGGACACCTTTTCCTTTCCATGACATAGCCCCAGCCCAGCTGGCCCAGTCCCACCTTCCAGCACATTTGCATCCCACTGGATGCACATTTGCCCCAGTAAAATTTTATTAATTATTACAGATTTATTACTTATGCAAAAAGGAAAGGACTAACATGATTTCTGAATAATTTAAATGGACAAAGGCAATTGCTGGACTGATCACAGGCTTTTGAGACCCAACTCATCCATCAAACTTACACCTCCTCCTATGCTAGTTATCCATCACCCTTTCCTTTAGGTAGGCTGTCAATAAATTTTGTGTCAGCAGGTCAGAAGGGATGATGCAGTTCCCAGCTTTGAAGGACAAATAAAGCAGAAAACAGAGGCAAAGGAAATCAGGAAAACTATTAAACACTTTCTTTGTTACATCAACTACAGCTGCCCACATTGGACACAGACAAAAACACCAACTAAACCAAATAACTAGGAGATAGATAGATAGATAGATAGATAGATAGATAGATAGATAGATAGATAGATAGATAGACGGATAGACAGACTACAGAAGATATATATATATATATGTAGGTAAAGAGATACAGATACAGAGAGATATTTAAAAAAACAAAGGATAATAACACAACTAGCTCAAAAATGTCACTTATTTAATTAAGTAATTTTGATTTTTTCTTTCTAAGCATGTTTTGCACATCACAATTCTCAGAGACTTAGAACTAGAAATATTGTATACTTTGGTAATAATTGACTCAATCAAACTCAAGGCAAATGTGAAGAGGTATATTTGTAGAGGATCCTGGGTAGGAATATAGTAATAAGAGTTGAATTTGAAGCAAATTAAAAGTAGAAGAGCCAGGTAAGGTAGACCAGAGAGTGACCTGCAGTACTGAAATCTGTAAGAATAATTCAGAGAGGTGAAGTATTCAGAAACTCATATGAAATCAGCAAATACATTCACTGAAGTCTCACTTTATGAATTATAGTAAAAAAATAGAGTAATTCCAAAAAGAGACATATACAAACATATAATCCAAAGCAAAGTCAAATCAGAATCTGTCCCTGGACCTTTCCTGAGACAATACCATCTTCCACTCAAACTAATGGTGTGTATTGCACCAGCCACCTTTTCTAAAGAAACAAAAAAAGGTACTGTATGTGCTTTCCAAGATTGAATAAGACATTCTATCAACATGCAAAATGAACTAATTCAGCCATTGCAAATGAACAGATTCACAAAGCAAAAGATAAACTTTCCACATCTCATTTAATTTATGCTGTTTCCATTCTTCACTGCACTGAGAAAACAGCTTTACTCATTCTCTAAAGTGTTCAAATGTTATAAACTTTAATAATCAAAACAAAAACAAATAAACATTATTAACTTCTTGAGAGAATATTTTAAATGAGCAAGAGAATCAAGAAAAAATTCCTAATTCACATGTTTGCAGTTTCTGCACCAGAAATCTCCCTAAGGGTGTATGTGAAAAAATGTGCAAGAACAGGATGCAGTAGGGGCCAGAGATCTATTGCTGGAGACAGAATTTGTTTTTTCACACAAAAACCTTTATCCTACAAAGATACCTAAGGTTATCTAAAACCTTTAAAATATGTGGTTTACTGGGGTTTGGTTTTGTTACTTGTGTTAGATGCATGTTAAGATACAGTTTTCTGAGGATGGTTTGAAGAATTTATTGTATCCACATGGTCTTTTTGAGGTTCAATTGCCTCTAGTGCTCCTACTTTTCAGTTTT